AGATTGCCCTGATGTTTAGCGACTTCTACAGTATCGAAAAGTAAACATTTATTGCATGACTGTACCTCTGTGTGTTCTACAAGCCAAATTGTTTTTTCAGTAAAAAAGTGATTAAACTCCATATAGTAGTTCAATCTGTTGGAAATATCCTTCTTCAAGTAACTTTTCCAGTGACTTCAAGTAAAAGATATAGGTCTATAGTTCCAATGTTGGTGGATGTCTTTATTGGGCTTACCAAGAAAGATCATCCCTTAGCAGTCTAAAAAAAACCACTGGAAATGTCCTGAGGCCCAAGATGGCACAAAGATATTTACCAAAGTGTTTACAAATTCTGAGTAGAACTTTATTTGTTTTATTGTTTATTCTAAGAGGCATTCTTGCAATAACCTGACTCTCTCTAGAAATGTAATAGGTCTAGTAAGCGGTGGTAATCTACACGAGTTGAAGTATCGATGGAAGGTAGTGGTTTTTTTGGGTTTTAAAAGATCATCCAAGTTCTCAACTCTCCCCATTCATTTACCCAACTGATAGTGGATTATTGTTAAATTGTCGACTGTTTTATTGTGGGAGAATTATATCCCATACATCACCCATCAAATTAGCCGGGTCCTGTTGATCGTCAAGTTTAATTTCAACATCTTCATCATCCTCATCAGTGAGGTAGAACTAGTTATTTAGAGCCTGTGCTTTTCTCCCTAAAAAGTTGTCGGATCTTGCTTCAAAATTTTTGCTGGCTCACGTTTATACTGATTTGCTTGAAGAACTAGCAATTTCCATAAGTCCCGTATTGTGATGACTAATCATGTTAATTAATTCTGGCCCTATTCGTGGCAGTTAGCTGCTGGTTGGTTGTCCGTTTGAAAAGATGCCTTCACATTCTCTTTATAATTCTTAAAGTTTCTCTAATTCCCCTAGTAGGTTTATATTGTTGGTAATAACTTTGTGGAAGCAATTGACAGTTGCCATTAGTAGCTTCATTCTTCCGATTATGCAAGGACCTGATTTGTCATCAATTGCAGTGGAAGGTAGATTTTCAATGTACACAATTTCATCGACACCAGAAATGCCATGAAGGGGTCAAATCTAGGGTGTGTTAAGATTGGGTTTAGGAGGAACATGTATTCTAAATGGAGAAGTGTGTAGTTGTATATAACAGTGATATGGTCAGATCCTACGTTTCCACCAGAAATATAACGACAGTGAAAGATGTCACAGTCATCTGTTTGTCAGTCTATATCTGGTGTCCCCTGATAGGTCCAATGTACGATCTTAAAGAACGGCCTTGAAAATGACAATTTCCTAGCTGTCATGAATATTAAATAGTTGTTTCCTTTTAAGTCATCCCATGGAATACCAGCTCCACAAGTTGAAGAGGGCAGGTATGAGCCATTAAAATCTTCCATACAAATTATATACTCTTTGAAAATCCTAGAGGGATTGGTACCAAATCTGCACACGAAAATCACTCCTATGAAAGCAAAAGTCCCCCCCTCGGTATGGCAATGAAACATCCCCCGTATGAAAAGCAAGGCGCCCCTAACACAATAGGAGATAACACAGTAAGTGTCAGGGACCCAGATTGCTCAACTGCCTTCCCACCATACATAAGGGAGATTACCAATAGACCCCTGGCTGTCTGCGAAGGCTTGGACAGGCAACCTAAAGCTACTCAGTGCCTGCTCAGCCGGGCTGTGGTATGGTCCAGTTTACGAGCCCTGGTTGATCCGGCCCGATCCACCATGAGGCCAGGTCATAGACCGGCCGCGGGGGCGTTTGACACCCGAAGGCCCTAAACCAGGTAATAATAATAATAATAAATCTTTTTTTCTACAAGTACATTGAAACACTATACAGACATAACTAACATCAGTGACACCTAAGTAAAGTCCCCTGGTTATGAGAGCATTCGGTAATTAAGGCTTTGTTGCTGTCCCAGTGATGCCTAACACGCGTCACACCATCGGTAACACCTAGGTACTTACTGCTAGGAGGACAGCGACGCAGGCGTCTTAAGAAACACTCCCAGTGTTTCCGTAAGTCCCATGGTTATGCAGACATTTCGGGTAATTTTAAGGTTTTTGGCCCCAGATGCGACTACCCACACCAGTCGGCTAACACCCAGGCACTTACTGCTAGGAGGATCATCGACAGCAGGTGTCTTAAGGAAACACTGCCTCAGTGTTTTCCACTCGTACCGAAGTATCCGAACCACAGACCTTAATGTGTGAGCTGGTGCGCCAACCAACCAAGGTTTGGTTGTTCCGAGAAAAAGTGAGAGTAGTTCCATTCCCTTGGATCATGGGATAAAGCTATTCCCATTGGGGGTCATACAGCGCCTTGAGGAACAGGAATGCTTTGGAAGTGCAGGTCAAGCCCAATGCTTTAGATCAAGAGCCTCTCACGGTATCAAGAAGGATACAGAGACTAAACATTAAGGCTAAATATTTCTTGCGTAAAAGCTTGGATAACGCACAAGAAACATCAATTCCACACAACACGAGACCTCATGACTTTTCTAAGCATAATATTGTGACTAACAATGCACTTACAACTCGCACATAGGGGACAAACTTATGACGATGTTTGTATCCGAACTGGATCATTAACTAAACCATTAACCTGAGTAGTTAATAGTACAAGTTGAACCGAAACGTTGTAATAAATTAAATTCTCATATGAATGGGTTATATGCGTATCTAACTTAAGTACCATGATCCACTTCTCTTGTAAACACTGAGAATAATAAACCCAAGTTACTTAAATTCATGATTTTCCAAACATGGTATTATAACCATACATTCCCTGCAAAATTATGCACCGGATCAACGAGCTAACAAAGTAAACGTTATATGTATATGAAACAAACATTTTATTAATACAATGCATGTAATATGCCCGTCCTCGACCCGACTTTTAAATTAAAATATCTTTTCCCCCCCCCCCTGGTTTTTTTTGTCTGGATAATTTAATTGATGGATTAGTTTTCAACACTTACAACTGTCAAAATGAAATATTCTATAAATTAAAATCGGATAAATTTCTAAGTATTTCTCGGATTCCCAACTTTAAATAATTCACATATCCTAGGTGGAACTCTCATAGGTAAGCTGATTTAGGCACAGGTACACCTAACTACAACTATCATAAATAGCGTAAATTATCCAAGATAACCCAGTTTGCTCACCTGGAGGCGAATTAGAAAATGGAAAGTAATCAGATTTCATCATAGGAAGGAGAGGCTAGCTCTGGTTCCTTGGATAAAGAGCTCTTCACTAGCATCATATTTTGTGTCCTCATATTTTGTGTAAGAGACTATCATCCAATTTTTAAAAGTGCCTAAATGGAATAAAACTAAAGTGGTGTGTGTGTGTGTGTGTGTACTCACCTAATTGTGGTTGCAGGGTCGATTCATAGCTCCTGACCCCCAGTTCTGTGATGAAAACGCCTTGCTGATGATAGGTCGCAGAAGAATGACCAGCTTAGTTCTAGTTGATAGGAAGGCTACAGCAACTCAAATAACCTGGAATTTCAACAGTGGCATTCTGAAGAGCATCTCTGAAGGTACAACACGTTGAACCTTGAAATGAATGGGTTCAGTAGCAAAAAAAAAAAAAAAATGGGTTCCACTCCTGTCGGCTAAAAACAGGAAACTGGTGCTACAGTGGACACAAGCTCACCAAACTAGACAACTGAGGTCTGAAAAAATGTCATCTGGTCTGACGAATGACGATTTCTGCTACGACATGTAGATAGTATGGTCAGAATTTGCTGTAAACAACAAGAATTTATAAATCCATCCTGCCTAATGTCAACAGTTTAGAATGAAGGTGACGGTGCAATGATTTGGGCAATGTTTTCTGCCACATGTACCCATAACAATAACTGAATATCGTTTAAATGCCGCAGCCTACTGATTCAGGTAACTTGTCCTAATAATTTATTAGGACAATACCTTATTACTTCTTGCGAGTATTTCAGGAGAATGACAATATGGCTGCGATAATAAGTGGATACTGTGGAAATGAAGCAGTTGTACGTGAGATAGCAACTCAAAGAGACGTAAACACAGCAAGACTTTATTAAACATGTACACATTCACATGTGTTGCATTAAGATCACAGAAAACAGGTGATATCGCAAAATGCAGAACATCCACTGTGAAAAAAATAATGAACTTCCCAGTGCTTTCGTGATTTTCCACATTATCACGAAAGCACTTGGAGGTTCACTGTTTTTCTACAGTGGTTGTTTTGCACAATTACATGTGTACATATTTACAACTGTATATACATATAAGTATAGATACACAGACGCATATGCTCACATACAGCACATAAATGCTTTCACACCCAAAAAAAAAGCATATGTATGTATATGTATACATACGCATATACATACTCACAAGCATACACTTTTTTATATTTTGTTGCATTAGAATTTTATGATTCCCTGCACTAAAAAAAAATTGCTGTGCGGGGGCAGGGGAGAGAGGATTGATCTTAAGGAATACGGGGATACCTTTCTTTCATAACTCAGCGAGAAAGGTATCCCCGTTTAGTTTATTCTGTGTTCACTAAAGCTAGTTAAGATGCCAACAAAAAAATGTTTTTTTAGTAAATCACATAGGTAATGCGCGTCTTCCTGTGGTGCACTGACTCGTTACTTCCTTATCAATAAATCTGATTTCATTCTCTTCAATATTATTGGTTAGACATATTAAAGGGTACGGACAGAAGGACATCAAAGCGCCTGAAGAGCAATCAGACTGAGAAAGCTTGTATTTAGGTTAGACTCAACACTAGGAATATAGTTATCATTGTTAAATTACCAGCCTTTACATCAGTGTCATCAGGGCACATTACAGACCGTGCATGGCGCGAATAACCAGAAGGGTATAAAGCGAAGAACTCCGAAGCGGGACGCTCTTCTGCGCCTGCATCCACATACACAACATGCCTTGGAGACGATACATCATGAAGCTCACTCCTTCAGGTGTTCGTATGGTGTTCGTGAGAGTCACATCCACACAGCGTGCACTTACATCAATTATATTCTGCCTTCTGCATGCTGCCGCTGCCACGCCAACCCCCAACAGCACCCACAGCGGTACTCTCGAAGGCGTCGACGACAGTATTCCTTCACTTCATGCAACGTCTGCGTCGATTGACAGATACGAGTCAGAACTCCCCAGGGACTGGCTACAATCTGAGAGAATTTGTTCCCCGTTTGACTTAATGGAGGATCACTTCAGACATTATGCTTCAATACCATTGTTGTTATTAACTCTGAGTCGCAAGGATTCTTGCGAGGAGCTGGAGAGAGAGAGACAAGTGGTGGAACTGGACAGCCACCATAACCTGTTTCCTGAGTGGCTTGTGGACGCTACTGTCGCTGGGGAGTGCCCCTGGGAGCTGGTGATACGAGACTTCATTCCCGGGACTGTGCCACCTTCCATTATAGAAGTAGTGTGTCTGTGTGACGGTCACCACTGCTCACGTGGAGGTGACTTCCAGTGCACTCCCGTCACACGTAACGTCAAAATATGGACCAGCGAACCTCTTTACCTGGGTGTGTTTCGACCGCGGATAGTGACGGTGACGACAGCGTGTGTGTGTGCTCAAAGGCAGATTCCTCGAGGCGGGGAAGCAGAACTTGGCTTGGTACACTAGTTCTTATTCTTATGCGCGGGGGGGGGGGGGGTCTGGATTAAATACCAGCCTGAAGTCCTTTACCTTCTGTAATCGTCTGGCATCTGTATACGGTAACGGCTTCTCGGCGTAATGTATAAGATCAAGTGTAACTGGTGCGTTGAATGGCTGTAACATAAGGAGCACATTAGTGTACTGTTTGCAGTGATGTATAACACATGCGGATTCACAGCTTGTGTTTAATGGAATACAAATAGTAATAGTAATATTAATAATAATAATAATAATAATAATTAATAATAATAATAATAATAATAATAATAATAATTCTGGTTTCGTAATTGGTCTAGTCAATTTGTTTTAATGTACTATGAAAAGATTCTTTTTGAATTCTAGTGAAGTGTAAAGCTTATATGAGATAGTAAGAAATTTAAAATGCTACAATAAAAGTTGAAATATTGTTTTAAGAAATATAGGAAAACGTATATTACTCGCTAAACATTGTATGGGTAATCATGCACAGCTTATCATCGTGTCTAGTTTTATTATGTTATATGAAAATATTTAACAAAACTGAAGTATTGTGAGGTAATCTAAGGAGCGTTTAAAGGATGTGGTACGGCGCATATTGACAAGACGCTGAATTTTTTTTCCAACTCGTCCAATTAGCTGTGATAAAAAAAAAAATATTTTCGAAAATTATTTTTAAATATATTTAGTGACGAACAAGGGTCTCAACGTGAGTGGAATATATTATTATTACAACTTGGAAAAGAAACTTCTGAACAAATTTCAGCCCGTCCTGCCTTGCTGGACAACTGTCAATTTACATCTCATTCGCGACTTGATAAGTATCCAGGACGGATCCGAACGTCTAAATTTTCTTCTCCAAAATCTAAGTTAATAGTAAATATTTAGTCTCTCCAACGCATTTAGATACACAAAATAAGGCTGGCTATTAGGCATCTAGTAAATTTCCCGAAAATTTAATCCAATGTACATACTTTTTACAGAACCTAGTTTTAGGAATGAAGCTTGAAAATATAGTTTATTGTCTTCAAATAAAATTATCCTGTACATAACTTTAAACAATATAAATCTATATTTATAAATGGACTTTAACCGGAAATCAAAATGTTAGTGGTGTTTTTTAATGCAAAAAAATATGTTCATTGTTTGCAAATTAATTATTATTAGTCACTGAATGTCGTTAAAGTAATAACATGCATGTGGGTATATATATATATATATATATTTTATATATATATATATAATATATATATATATATATATATATATATTATATATATATATATATATATATATATATATATATATATATATATATATATATATATATATATATATAAATATATTATATATATATACATATATATATATATATATATATATATATATATATATATATATATATATTATATATATATATATATATACATATATATATATATATATATATATATATATATATTCACAGACTTGTTGAACTTCGCAAGCCAAAACACAAGGCAGAAACGTTGACTACTATACCATGAGAAACAGAAACATTGCACATAGTGTAGGTGGACTCGGAAAGTTTAACACTGTCACCAGCTACGACTCTGTCCAAGTTTTTACAAAGATCTCCTCTTTGTTCTTGTGAACCTCGTCGTGCAGTGGTTAACCTTGCTTGCTCTGATACTTTTCGCGTTCGATTCCCCGGCAAATCTTTCAGTAGTGTTATTTCCCTTACACATAGTTTTAACATAATATATTAAATTTTTGTATGACATTGTTCAGCATTTCCTCAGAGGCTGGAGATTGCTAGTGATAGTTACCTAAGATTTTGAGTTTGTTCTTTCAGTGTTTATAAATGTTGTTTTAGTGATGTTTATTGTATTTTAATGTTGATAAATGTCATTTTAGTGATGTAAATGCTGCATTAGTACTACTGATGTTATTTTAGTATTTATAAATCATACTTTTGTGATATCAATGTTATTTTAATTATTTAAATGTAATATTAGTGACATAAATGCAATTTTACTAATATAAGAGAATTTTTTTTTAAATAAATATCTCATTTAAATTATTCAATTTATTCATTATGACATATTTGTTTCCACTAAGTAAGTGATGACAAAATAAAATGTCTTTTGTATATATATTTATTTTAATACCCGCAATAGTTTTAATCTGAGTATAAGATTTCACAGATTGTTCTTCTGTGAGACGCCTGCGACAGTGGCACCAGCTATGTCTCTGCTGTGTCTTCCTATTAGTAGCCTCGCAGCCTAGCAGTCGTTCATTACGACTTATCTCGAGTTGATGGACTATATGGCCTTGAGCGGTATGAAAACAGATGTACCATGAAAGCTTCTGGAAATGTGAGGATAGACATTAGTGTCGATGACGCAAATATTTTACGTAAGTGCTGCCTGTGAATGCTTTGTAGCTCTGGAGTACAGACCTGGACCTGCTGTATGCCAAGATCACAGTTCGAGTCTCTATTCATTCTTCTGCTTCATCAAACCTAATTTAATGTAACCTCACCCAACCTCCCTTAACTTATCCTAATTTAATACGGCCTAACCTAAATTAATCCAAGTTAAACTATCCTAAGCAAATCTAACGTAAAGTAGCTTAGATTAACCTAACTTGGCCTAGCCTAACTTAATTTTATTTTACTTAAGCATACATAGCCTAACCTATCATAACCAAACCTAACCTAAGGTAACCTGAAGCTTTGTTTCTTTTTTTACTTCGTTGATTTTACAATATTAGAGCTGTTATTCTACCTCAGACATCATTTAACAATCTTGGGATGTGACCCGTGAAAGTCAGTTAACACCCAAGTACCTACTGACGTCCCTGCACTGATTACTTAGGGAAGGAATGACAGCATTCCTTCCCTAGGTTAATTCCTTCCCTAGAGTCAAGTTCCCTAACACACTGCAGACTGCGGAAAGCACAATGTGTCTAGGAAAACTCCCACTAACTGCGCCCCTCTTAAGTACATTAACTTTCACGTGTATCTTACCTACTGAAGGCATTCTCCTTGCACATCGTCTGTGATTTACTCTTACTGCAACAACCACTAAATAATGATACGATGTTTCAGTGGCTGCTTTGAATACATGAACATCCAGAAGTCTGCCCATCAACCTGTAATCCATCAACACATGAAATAGCAGATTCCTGTCACTGCGCGCTACCTTATGTCTCATGAGCTTATTTACTCTCATTAGGATAAAATCAATAGTATCTGTTAAGAAACCACTTTTTATGAATTATTCTATTATACTACGCCTATTATCATTCACGGTTGTCACTCCGTATTTACCTACGGCGTCATCTACAACAGTAG